AAATTTCGAGAAAGAAATTCTTCACTTTTTAATTAATGTTTGGGTTAGTTTGAATTTTTAATAGACTCCAAGACGTAATTGCTATCATTTATCAGTCTTATAACAGTTGCAAATCTAGAACACCAAAATTTGGCAAGTTTTTTTTGCATGAGGAGATAACCTTGTTCACTCTTTGAATCAAGTGTCAGAGCTAAATTCTAACCACAAAAGAAGCAGTTGTGTCTAGCTTCACTGAAATAACCTTTGCCGTGAACTTTAGATCTTATCAATCCCTCTTAAATGCATTTTATATATGGCTTTGTTCTACGTCAGCAACACAGACGCATAACCACACCAACTGGTAGGTGTAATGCGAATAATAATTTCAAGTGCTAAACACATGATTGTAAGAGGTAAGATGAAAAAGCAAAGTAATTTGGAATAAGAACAAATATTGCGTAATTCATACAGCTTCATAAAAGTTTAAATTTTTGTTATTGTAATGGCAAGAGAGAGGATGAAAAAAGGAAATTACCCTGTGGTTTGGGTGACAAATAATAAGACCAGATATTTGGTTTCCAATGTACTTCTGCATAATCAATGTGAAGCTACAATCTGTCAAAATACACTTTATTCTTCACAAAAACAAAAAGTATTCTTTAAACTTGCAAAATGCATGAGTTAGATCACAGCTTAAAGGGCTTTTCAGTCAGACAGGTTTTAAAAATCTGGCTAAAAACAAAAATAAAGGAAAACTCTTATGCTGAGTATTATGAATATTGATCACAATTTAATAATAGAGAGTAAATAAGATAATTTTTTTCCAAGTTTGAAAAGTGTACATTTGAAAATTTTCCAATACAGAACGCAGAGGGGCTGGGCAGTTATTTCAACCAGATCTTGACTCAAGACAAATATAAACCAGTAAATTTAGCATTATTTACTCAAGGCAGGTTCTTTAAATACAATGCTTTATGAGGCCGGAATGTTTTGATCTAGTAATTATTCCAAACAGAGAATTTCCACTGTGAATACATGTACACTTTTAAAAAAAAAGAAAACATTGTTTTTAAAAAAATAATGCAGAAGTATTTGGAGTGGTTAAATTTTAGACATGTCATTTCATAAGCAAAATGTTTGCCAAAAAAATGTTGGGTGGGTCGATAATATTCACCTGTACATCACAACTGGTGACGAGCATATTGGAAAAAAGTACTGTTCGAACATTTCACTATAAATTAAGCCATTTTCTACTCATTCCGATATAAAAAAGTAAACTTTTGAAGTACCCTATAATGTTAGCGTCCATGGGGATTTGCTAAAATGCCTAGAAACTTCCATATTCATAAAAAGTAATCCGCCAAGCAGAATTGGAACATAAAATATTATGTGAAATGTAATACTCCGAGGAATGTTCCCGACACAACAGTCTGTAGCCCTTAAAAATAATCCGCAGGAAATTTTCACTACGGAGTTGTAATTGCAGATTACCATTTTAAAGTTTAAGCCACCGTGGGCAAATGATCGATGAAGCTTACCGATAAAATTGTTCAAGCTTCAGTGAATAAGAAATTATTTTAAAAGTAAATCTACAAAGTGGAAGTTTTTAAAAATACATGAGCAAGGAAGCCTCTAGCTGTCAACACTGTGTTTACTATCAGCTCTGCAAAACCCTTCAGCAAATGTTTTGGAAGATCTCGAGCCTTGAAATAAAATGTTAAAGTGTAAAATTGGAAGATTAAAGTTATACTTTGACTTACCGAAGTCTGAGTGGGCATCGATGCAAGAAATTGTCGAAGAATCCGATATGAAGGTGGGGAAAAAAAGTAGAAAAAAATATTCAGTTATTTTAATCTAAGCGAAATCGAGAACCACAAAGGTTATCCACTACTCATCAAAAAGATCCTACAGTCGTTTAAAATTATTTAAAAATAGAGAAAAAATGTGAATGACGCCTATGATAACAATAGTATCTTTTACACATTTCCCTACGTTGAAATCGCTTAAAAAATTTCATAAATTCACCTGTTTTGTTCCAGGAATAGTAACTTGAACTCCGCACCGCGCACAGACTTTGAGTTTACAATACTTGCACTCTTTTCCGGCACCATCAGTAAATTTTGTTTTGTGGCAAATTTCGCAAACATTGTCCTCCTTTAGAGCAGAATCCGCTTGTGCTTGACCACTCTTTCTTTCGACGCGATGTTGATAACTTTCCACCTCCTTCTGTAGAGATCTACAGCAGAAACATGCCAAAGTATAAACACTTGTTTAATTTCCAACCAAGCGTGAAAAATAGCGAACTATGCAAGCTCAATATAATATAGTGACCAAACGAAGTTCAAACGATTACTTTTCGGAAAAGATATCATTTCTTCGAAGGAATAAAATTAAACACGCCGAGAAAAGCAGCATCAGCTATCGCCAACATGGCGTTATGTATAAATTTTAGTAGTGGGAATTTAGCTTACAGTTGCAACTGATTTGTCTCCTCTTCCATTTGTTTTTGTCGTTCCAATACGGACTGGATGATTTCCTTTTCCTCCTCGGTTAAATTCGAGAGATCTGGCGGCGGTGGAGACGCCGGTAATCGAAAACCAGCCATTTTCCTCATCCTAAACAAGGAACGTCAGGAGAAACCTTGAGCGAATTTGTGGGGATTCGCCTCAGAACGGCGAACAAGTCCACGCTAAACAGAAAGTTGAGCTCCTAAGATGCTGCAAATCGCTATCTAAGTTGATGCTCAAGCTTCCACGTTTCCACTTCCATCGTAATTTTTCATTCATTCTTTACAAAATTCTCTCCATGCCCAGCAAAAAATTATTGTTAAAACCACAACACTGCCTATATTCCGTGTAAAACTTGACATATATGCTAATTTTAGCACCGGCCGAATGGCGCAGAAATCGGTAATCTTCGGAGACTGTCGGTAATCTCCGGAAAACTACTGCAAGTCACGAAGCAATGCGAAGTAGTAAAGTGCTCTTGAAACGTACGAAAAGGAAAGGATGATTCGCCGCGGCGTCCCGCAAATTCAACATTTTCGTGCATTAGATCAGTTTTAAGGGATTAATCTGGTTGGAAAACGTCTCTGGTAACTAGGCTACCCAAGGTTATCAAAAAAAGTTGCCTGCGAAATTGGAATTAACTTGATAATTGCTGCATTACTCAAGGTACTAGACGGTTTAGTTCAAAATTGACTTGTTTAAAACATTTGATCCAAAAAGTTAGCCATACAGTAATCCAAATATTGCGAAAATTATGTAAGAAAGCACCGCAAGAAATTTAGCGCCGAAGTCTTCTCTCTGTTAGCCATTAAAGGGTTTTACTTTACTTATCAACTTTGATCGACATTTTGTTAAGTGTCAGCACCTGCTCCATGGCTGAGTCACGCTATCAATACTGAGCTTCAGAAAACGGACTAATCAGAATGCTACATATACACTAGAGTAGGACTGGGGCGACTGAAGACCTTGGCCTCAGAGATACCGAGATTATGAGTACTTGGAAAGGCGAGACAAAGGTAAACTTGTCAGCTACAAGGTCACACTGTGAATTTTTTTGCTTTCGGTACACGTTTTTGAAGAGACACGTTGTTGTTTAAGACTTCCCCG